CCCTGTGGAATGCGTTCGACTGATCCAGACACATTTTCAACGCACGAACTCATGACAGTTACAGAAATCCATAACGGGCAGAATTTTAAGGCAACTATGTATGGAGATTTGTTATTTTTCTACTCTAACCAGGAAGGTCTTTCAGGGCGTGCCAAGCTTTTTGAAAACGGTCTTTTGCATGATATAGGGGCACATGCGGGAACCACAGAACCATGGTTAATTTTTCCTGAACGGCCCTCTGAATACCAGAAAAGGGGGTCCCTAGTTCGATTCCTCGTGGTGACAAATTTTTGCATTTCGAGTTGACGTTTCCAAAATTCGCGCAAAATGGAGTTAGCATGAATAATTAGTACCATATTCATGATTAGGACCGTCAGTAACCCTTACAAATAGACTTTGATTAAAAAACTGGTGAAAAGGTGTGACACCACAGTGGGGCTGCTTGGTGTCACACCTCGCCTTTTTCTCGCACAAAGTTGTTGATGAATGTTTTACGGCAGAATATTCCTTAGGTGTCCCCCCAAACAGAAGCAGGCCCTCCTTCACTGCCCCCACCGTCTTCAGAATATGACGTCATCTGCCGTCACCGTCGAGCTCAACGAGGCTTACCGTAATCGCTCCGGCCTGAAGCTGCTACATAATTTTCAATGATTAACTGTTGAATAGCTTCCCAGAGACATTAGCTGTGACTATGCAAAACCGCTTTTGACCAGCGTTTCAGGGACGTCGTAATGGTCTATGGTACCTCGACGACCTCGTTGAGCTCGTACCGTGAACCATGTTTCCGTGGGAAAATCTTCTGATGTCGTCGGTGTAGAAGGCTGTCATGTAACCTTTTGATAGATTAGAATGTGCTCTTTAATATTCAGTTGGGCTCATTTGGTTTGGTTTCGCAACGTGTAATTAATTCCGTTTTGAATGTGAGAGGAAAGTGACTCTTTTTTGCCCCCCCCCTGTAGATCATGTGGTTTATTGTTTTTTCCTTATTGATTGTTTTGAAGAAAAAAGTGAAAACTTCATAAAATATACACACGCACTTGTCCGTTCTGTTTTCAAAAGTCAAGCATTTCTTATTTCAAAGTATACTTTACCCCCATGAATCCCTCCGTTCCTCCCGTTCCCTATTTCAATTCACGAAATCTGCTCATCTTTTCACTCACGAATAGCCTTCAGTTCGTCGACACCCCTCGTTCACAATAGCGAATGGGTATGTATTGGACGGAGTCATGTCAACCCTCACATAAAGGCGCAATTCACATTGCCAACAAAGGAGTGTGAGGGCGGATCGAGGCACTTATGTGTCTCGGTGTGTGGAAGGTCCAGACGATTCAAGACCAGTTTCCCCGACCCTGTCCAGGAACTCCCTCACTCCAGTTGCCTCGCTCGCTTTCAGTGCTAAACGCATCCCTCGAAACATCTGGTGAACGCGGCTCATCAAAAACGTGTGCCACGGCGTAATAAATGCTGAAATCGGGAACAATTGATGCGAAACGGTGATGAGGCGCAGATCATAAAAGCACTGCGGCAGCAGATGTGTTACCCATATAGCGCGAAGACGATTCACTACTGAGCCCGTGCATTAGTGACAAATAATAACGCGCGCGGGAATTTCGGAACCGTTCATGGCTTTAAAGCGCCACGACCGCGTTAACAATACCTTCGTCTACGAATCTACCCAACTTTTACAGCTTTTCAGGGAAATCGTCAAATGCAAAGCAGGTAAGGAAACTTCTGTTACAACCAGTCAGTCGGCGATCGTTCTACAAAAATGAAGATATGTAAGCTTAAGCAGAGTTTGTTTGACAACGAGGGTCGATCAAAAATCGGAATGGACCATATGACAGTGCTCCTAACTCCTGACTTCTACTGAAATGATCTAGACTTGTTGGTACTATCCTTTGGCGGTTTGGCCCCTCCGCTAGTGATCAGCTACCCTGATGACCGAGGGCCCAACACGAAATCTTTTGTCCACTTCCAACTCACAGCAACATAAGTGACCTCAAGTAGAAAATCGGTCCATCTGAAATTTCCGACAGCGCTTGGTGTTTCCCCTTGAAAAGGGTTTCGCCCCATTTTACTCATTTTCTCGTTGAAGAATATAAATCTGATGTGCGCTGTGTGTCCAAAATAATCCTATTAGTTTACCACAACCAGTTCGTACGTCTACATCACAGGCGTTGATCGTAAAATTTTTCAACGTCAGTTTTGAAGGTCTTCGACTTTAGGTGGACAAATCGCTCCACTCACATTTCCGTCGATCGTAAATCCCTTCGCTGCGTAATTAGCCATGCCGCGGATGATGTAGGGCGTTATGTGTCCGTTCGATCACGGCTGACCAGGCCTGTTGTTCGCACTTCAGATTCGTCACTGAAAGTGGGCATGGCGGGGCGCGGGGGGGTGAAATGGCAGTATTCTCAAGGTACCATACAGGTCAGAATCAAGTTCACAACTTAAGTAAAATAACTAATGAAAGCCACGAATGAAACAAAACTTGCCAGACTTTTGTATATGATTTCTTTCCCTTAATAGTTCTCCAATCGGGTAAAGATGGGGCATTGTTTTTTGAAAAATAAAAATATCAAAGACTCGCACGGATGCGATTTCTTCTAATCCGTTACCACGCCCCTTCTCAGTAGTAACCAACCAAAACACCTGCATCAGGAGTCGACAGAATTTTAACTTCTGAGGGATGTTTGCATCTGTTCGTTAACACAAATCAACGTGACCGGTTATCGTCACATCGGGGCTTGCTGCGCGATCTGCTTTGTTATCAGCACACTGGCGTTTTTTAACACACGCAGCTTCGCGACAATGTCAGCCACCGGTGGCTGACGCGAAGATGTCCACTTCGGACCATGTCAGCCACCGGTGGCTGACGGGCTTTAAAGGGAATTTTTGAAAACAAAAGGAGGTCTCTGGGAGATTTTCTTTGCTGTGAAGAATCTTCATACCCTCATCTATCTAGGCCACCCCTGGGCAGAAGGAAAATCTTTATCCACTAGAATTTTATTGAAGAAAAAATATAACCCGACTTAAAAATTTCACCGAAAAAGTTGAAAATTTTTTTTCCGCTGAAACTTTTCCCATGGGGGTTTTCGAGGGTCCTGATCTCAAATATGATATCCATTTTTGGCGCTGGCGCCAAATTGGCGCCATTTGGCGCCCAGAGGTCTTGCATGCAAATTTCGCTTGTCAAACTTGCGTATGGGTTTTCGCAGGTCCTGATCTCGAAAATAATATCCATTTTTGGCGCTGGCGCCAAATTGGCGCCATTTGGCGCCAAGGGTGTCTTCACCAAATTCGCTGTAAACTTGCGTATGGGGGTTATTTGAAGCCCTGATTACGATTATGACATTCGTTTTTGTTTGGCGGCTGGCGCCAAAAATCCTGCGCCTATATTGCGGCCATTTTGGCGCCAAGGCTTGGTAGCTCACCAAATTCGCCTGTAAACTTCGTAATCTGGGCTTTACTTGAAGCCTGATTACGGATAATGCATTCGTTATTTGACGCATGCGCGCCAAAATTGCGTCGGCCATTTGGCGCTATTGGCTCAGGTGTCTTCACCAATTGCTTAAACTTTGCGTACGGGTTATTTGAAGCCCCTGATAATACGCAATTATAGACATTCCTTTAGTCTGACGCACTATTTTGGGCACTCGTCCGCAGCAATTGAAAAATATTGTACATTGATTCCTTCTATACGACGCGCGCCTTGGACCGCCTGAGCTCGAATCTGCTTTCATTATCTGCCGAGCGCTTCTCCGAAAAGAATATGAAGTGGAAAGGCGCAGCGGCAGCGGTATGTACGCAGAGACAAGGGGTCCTGAGATCAGCTCCCTGGCATGCTTACTCTTTTTTTGCTTGCAGCAGCACAGCCGTTGAGGGTTACTGACACCGCTATTCCAACGTGCTTGCGTGTAGTTACCTGTTGAAAGAAATGAAGGGGCAGTGAATGACGAACATGGGGGGTGCACGCGTGCTGGCTACTCTAACCCTCATATTCGTAATCAGGGTCTCAAATAACCCCTATATACAAGTTTACATCGAATTTGACGAAATTCAGTCAGGGCGCCATCTGGCGCCAAATGGCGCCAATTTGGCGCCAGCGCCAAAAACGAATCTCATATTCGTAATCAGGGTCTCAAATAACCCCTATATACAAGTTTACATCGAATTTGACGAAATTCAGTCAGGGCGCCATCTGGCGCCAAATGGCGCCAATTTGGCGCCAGCGCCAAAAACGAATCTCATATTCGTAATCAGGGTCTCAAATAACCCCTATATACAAGTTTACATCGAATTTGACGAAATTCAGTCAGGGCGCCATCTGGCGCCAAATGGCGCCAATTTGGCGCCAGCGCCAAAAATGAATCTCATATTCGTAATCAGGGTCTCAAATAACCCCTATATACAAGTTTACATCGAATTTGACGAAATCAGTCATGGGCGCCATCTGGCGCCAAATGGCGCCAATTTGGCGCCAGCGCAAAAATGAATCCCATATAATCGTGATTAGGACCCTTGATAACCTCGTAGGAGAAGTTTCAGCGTGAACTACGGATGGCATATAGAAAAAACTAAAAAAAATACAAGATGGATTTCCCCTGGGACAATGTCAGCCACCGGTGGCTGACATTGCGCAATCGTCTCTGCCGGCGCTGGTCCGAACGGGCAGTCTTCGAAAATCCCGCCCGGTCGCGAGTGGGTTAAACGAAATACAGAGCGCGGAAGAGTCAATTCATGAAACGCCAGGTCGCTTCGTGTTTGCCTCTCTTTTTTCAGGGTGGAAAGGGAACATCACTTAAGAAATCAGAAGGTATAGTTCAAAACACTGCAGCTCAAGCTGTAACCGTAGTCCCGAACATTCCTCACCAATGAGTTATTACGGAGACAAAAAAATGCCCCATAAAGAAAGGATAAAGCATTTGCCGTTGATCAATCCCTTTTTGGGATGCGGCACGCATTCTACTTCCATTTGTACATTCGTAGTGGCATTTGAATGCGATGTGGCCTATACAATGACTTGCGGGGGCCAGCCGATGTACAAGTCAGTGTTTTTATCCTCCCAGACAAGTCTGGTACCAATTAACCGACCCCGGAGGGATGGAAGGCTTGGTTGGCCCGGGCGACTCACGACCCAGGATTTGATCCCGGACCGCTCGCGTGGTAATGTTCACTTGAACACTCCACACTCCCAATTCATCCTGCCTCTGCCCCATTATTCTCTATAAGTTTACTTAGTAATGCTGGGTTCAAATGTAGTTGTTGAATATATGTCAAACCAGCCTTATGCGATAAAATGGACCTAGAACGAACGACTCCTTCCCTTAAACAGAAGCAGGTAGGCGAAGTCAATCCGCCTCATGGGAAGCACCAACGCAGTTTCGATGATACTTGTGAATCGCAGATGCCCCGCGCCAGATGCATTGGAATAAGTATCGGCTATTCTACGCAGTGATATTTGAGAGACAGCCGATGTTCAGGTCATTACTTTTGGTTTTCCGTGCTAGTCCGCAACAGAGCACAAATTTCAAACATGGTTTTACCCCTGGATGGCAGGTCCAATCCCTCTCGATTTCAGTTTTAGCAACCTTGCGATTCCTAAGGCATCAGTTAACCTGGGTTGGTCTTTGGTTTTGGATTTACCAGCTGGAGTGCGCCCCTCATCAATCGCACCAATTATTGCCTGAGAAATCGTCGTCAACCTGCCTTTTCATCCCATGAAGACCCCAATTTTCGCTACCGTAATGGGTGACGCGACGTTGCGCTGTGTGAACGATGGTGACATTGAAATTTGCATGGAAAATCAAGTGTTAGACTGCATATTAAGTCAAGTGTATTGTTGAAGAGCGGTCGATCGCAGCACTCAAGTGATGCGCTAGTGAGGCACCTAGTTAGTGCTCTCAAGATCGATGTGTCCTACAAATGGCGCGTTTCATCATAACCATTCCAAACACTCAACAACATTCAAAACTTATGGACCAAATCTAACGACTAAAACGCCTTCAGAGGCTTTGTACGGGCAACTCGGCAGTTGTGGTCCCCTCCCTCTTTAAGAAAAAATCGAGAAACAAATGAGGCGGCCCAGGAGATCAATGAGTGAGACGTCGACTTGAGTTGTTATGGTGAGGTTGAGTTTCAAAGAACAAAATGGTACTGCGCAAAAAGCTGGGGGAGGAATACTGACCAGGCAAATTTTGAGGAATTCCTCATCTTTATGATTTCGAGATGGAGGTATAAACATATTTCAATTTGGGCGGACGCCAGTGAATGCTCTGAATTGGAGACGTTTCGTATCCCCTCGAAGGATCCAGAAAAGGACAGAAGGTCTTTGTTCGACACACACGCGATAGAATAAGTACATGAACTTTTTCTAGCTCCATACTATTCCGTGAGCCCATGTGGTGACGGTAGGTGCATTTTCCGCGTCGTTTCGAAAACTTGGGCAGTCAATTTTGTGCACGGCAGCTAGGGTCACCTGAGTCCTGTGGAATTTTCAAACCATATATTTCGTGTAATGGGTCCTCCCTTATTAGGACTTCCTTCAAGAGAGGGATTTATCGCGTTTTTCTCTATTTCCTAGGCTTCAGTGAAAGTGAGGAGGCCGAAACGCTAGCCTATGGTCTAGAGGGGTTTGAACGAAACAGACATCCTGAAGCTCCCTGCCAAAATTATGATGATCACAGTCTATTATGTATGAACCGCACTTGTGGCTTATTGGAAGGGCACTATCGGCTAAAGTAACAATAAATGATAGGTGAAAGGACAAAATCAAATTTTGAGTGCGTCTTCCCACTACCCAAATAGGAAAACAGCCGGGTTTCTGCAGCATTTTGTCAAAGCGTTACCTCGCCTTGAACAATTGGAAAAAAATCTCCAAAACAATCAAGATAAAATTCTCACCAGTGACAAGAATTTTGCCGCTCATTCGAGTTTTCGATCCGGAAGTCGCGGCTGCACTGTTCTTCAAGGATCACCAACTCGGCAACGGTTTCAGATGACGGTGGCACTCGGACAGTACTGTCTCACCACAGGAGCCCAACCAACAGTTCTCTGCGCTGAGGTATTGCTACCTGGAATAACCATTTGATTCGAATATGTTCCAGATAAGAGATGCCTGCTCAACGCCGTAAAGGTAAATCCATGCATCGGCTGCTGGACTATCCAGGAATAATACCTACAGCTGTCAGTCAAAAAGTATTTGGATAGAGGAACAGAAAAACACAGAGGAAAGAAAGAAAGAGAAAATGATTATTGTGGTATTTCTCCAGAAGAACTCATGGGAATAATACACATGAAGAAAATCCACGCAAGAGGCAAATCCAATCAATACCCTCACTCTGCTTTTTAAAAGACAGATCAGCTCTTACCGATATGATTTAATTGAACTTCTTGATGGAAACCGGCGTTCGCTTCGACGACTTCACAGGGCGTTTTCAGTTTCAACGCCACCGTCCATTCGCACGCAATATCCTTTTCAATAATTACTGTAGAATAGAGCTGCCTGCACAAATTCACAGTCATATGAATCCATCTCTCCACATCTATCTGGGAGGCGGGATTTTGCAATCAGGACACAGCTCACTTATAGATTAAAGTCGGCCGATGGTGGTCAGTGGAGTCCGAGATGAGAAAAAAATCACGAGAAACGGCCCAAAACCCAAAGAGTGGGACCCCTTTCCGATATCTGCGACTCTCATCAGTGCTAACCTCTTCAACGTTGATGCTCTCTTTGCTGAACGGACAGAGACCTGCGGAAAGTGGTTAGCCATTGGAGGGCGTCGCCAACGCCGTTAGCCGCCGCCGGATATACCATGCTATGCTACCCGGGGCCATTCTTCGCTGCAAATTGCTTGTTGGTCCGCATCCTTCGAAAGTCCACCTTTCTTTTCACTAGGTAAGTTCCCCCTTCCCCCAAGTCCGACCTTATCGTAGAATTCTCCTTTAAGTTTGTCGCGATCCCTGCAAGCGCGAGTCAGGCTGTTCTGCAAGTGCAGGAGCTGTGATTATTTCATAACTACAGTGTGGGTAGCAAGGATTTACACCCTCGCAATTCTCGCCCCTCTGCAATGCACAATGTAAAAATGACGCGACGCGTTGCTGTATCTCAATCCTGTCTCGTTCTTTTTCTTTCAGACTCTCGTCAAGCCGCGCTATTTTCCTCGATGTTAGCTCCTCCAGTGCCATGTATTACCACCGTTTTCGGCTATCTTCTTAAGTTCTCCTCGACTGGAGGATCATGGTATCCATGAAGGTATCCATAGTTTTGTACTACTGATTGCAAACAACAACATCCTTCCATGAGGAAGTGGAATACGTCTTCGTAAGCATGCCCCACATCGAAGCGCTCAGAGAACTGAAAAAGCTCTTGAAGAAATCGCCTCTTTTAACTTAGTTTGAATGTGAATAGGTCAAATGTGCTGTTCCTCTGACAAAGTGACATTCATGTGACCTTTTAGAATTCGAGAAGATTGTGAAAGGTTTCCTTCCAAGGATAAAGTAATTCACATTTCTTTGTTGTAATGTACGCAAATCTACAACTGACGTCTGGGGATCAGCATGCCCTAGAAGCCTCGAATATTGCATTTAAGGCACCATTTTTCGTCTTCAAGAGGACATGAAATGTCGGAACATTACACAAGCTCCATTCTAGAATTGCAGTTGTTGTGAGCTGGAAGAGGATTCGGCTCATTGAGAAAGGATAGCCAAGTGCAGAAGGTGTTAACGAGGCACAACGGGATGGCGCAAGTCAAAAAGGTTCGAAGGATCATGGCCAATATTGGTCGCTGCAACTGCTGCATAGTCTTACCTTGTGCATCGTTCCGTTTTGAACGAATACTCTTGCTCCCTTTGTGTAGTGTTTGTAAACGT